TTTACAATATCCTATCAAGCTTCTGTACTTACAGCAGCATCCCACCTGAGATTGTGTCTTTCTTCCTCGGTGGGCCATGCTCTTTCAAACAGACGGTCTGCAATTCCTCCCTTTGGCCTTCGTATCCGGGCACAACTGGCTGAATTGGGTCTGGTATTGGATGACATTGCTGTCCCAAATGATCAGCCCCTTCCACCATGGCTTATTACCATCCGTTCCTGTGACCTTTTCTTGAGTCATCTGAGGAAGGCAGATACTCCTGATTGGAACTACCGTCTTCTTTTTGCTGAACGTCTTTTGAGCCATTCTTCTCTTTTTATTTACACGGATGGTTTGAAGTCAGGTGACTCTGTAGGGTCTGCCATGGTGTGCTGTGGCTCTGTAGTTGCTCGCAGGATCCCCTCTACATTTTCTGTGTTCACTGCCAAGTTGTATGCTATTTCTTTTGGCCTGGATCATGTAGAAGTTAACCTGTACAGTAATTGTACTATTTACACTAATTATCTTAGCTCTCTACTGGCCATGGAATCGCTTAATGTTTGTTCTCACCCTGTTATTGTCGATATTCAACAATGACTGGCCCATTTTTGTCTATCTTCTGTTTCCATCCAGTTTTTCTGGATACCTGGCCACATCAGTATTCACGAGAACAAGCTCTCTGACACCGCAGCTAAGTCCATCTGTTCTGGTGCTGTCACAGCCGTCCCTGTCCCGTACATGAACTAGTTCTGTCTTCAAGGCGTGGCTTTGTGCCAGTTGGCAGTCGACTTGGGGTGAGCAACGTCACAACAAGCTTTTTCAGATCAAATCATTTGTTGGTCATTGGCCGTCTTGCTTCTGTAAGAATTGGTAGGAGGAAGTTATCCTGGCAAGGCTATGCATTGGTTACAGTTTTTTAACTTATCGTTTTCTTTTATCTGGTGTTAACCCACCAATGTGTAGCCATTGTGACACTCAAGTCACAATAGCCCATGTTTTACTTTCATGCTGTCATTACGACCGTGAGCAGTGGCACTATTTTAGACACGTGTTTTCTAAGAGTTTACCCCTGACTCTGGACAGTGTCATTAGCAATGGTGACACTGTCTGATTTGATTGTATTTTACTTTTAATTTTTTATGCACTATTGGCCTTTTTAATTGTATATAAATTTTTTATCCCAATTTTGGACATATTTTGGTTTTAACTCACCGTATTTTTACATTTTACTCTAATTTACTTTCACTGTTTTTACCAGTTGTATGGTGCAGATAGCCTTATTTTTTTGTGCCATAAAACACCAAACAGACAAACAACTTAAAGATCCTTGTGACATTTGTAGAAAACAAATGATAAAAAAGATAACTTTAGGTAGGGACAAGTATTAATAGGAAGATGAATACTTTTTCATTTACTCTCTCATACTTATTTGTCTGAAAAATATAAACACACTATATGTCCTTTACTATACACACAAAATTAAGTGGCTTATAATTGCAAGAGAGGTTTTATAACGTCAATAAAAATCATACTAAGTTATTGCTAGCTTTAATACGAATAGTGCTTACCAAATGGCTTATGCTGTGTATTTAAACATACTTTAGTTTATTGTTTTACATTGAAAAAAAAAAGTTTTTTAACTTTAATTGATACTGGTTACATTTGATTCTAACTGAAAGACATGCTCTCCGGCAGTATTCCTTTTTATACCGTTTGTGCTTGAGATTGAAGTACAAACAATAAATGCAATTATTTTTAATAATTTTTCTTAACATCTTTTAGACTTGAAGACTGATGATAAATATTTGCTTCTAAAAAGAAACACTGAATCTACTTTGAAAAGAACAGTGAAAGGCAGCTTCAAAGAAATATTTGTTCAATTGCAGTATAAGTGCAACAGTGTTAATCCTTCATACTCAAAATTGTCTTTAACACCTGAAAATGTTAAACTCACTTGTGATGGTGCTTGGGTAAGCCATGCTTTGATATTGTATATGTGTTAATAATGCCACAGTAAAATGTAAAATTCATTAAAGTTATTCATTAAATCAAATTCTGCTGGGATTTAAAAACAAAGATAAATCATAAAGTAAATAGAATTTCTGTTTTATAATTTGTTTAGAGAGGACTACAACTATGAATCTGCATAAACAAATATATAAGTGGATTAAAATGTTTTTTGCTCTTGTTGTGAACAATTTTAAATTGCCTTTTTGTTTTTCTCTAAAAGAGGTAGGAATAATGCCACTCCATGTTCTATGTTTATATAAACTATTATATAATTAAGGAAAGAGACTCTGAACTTGTGATATGAATGATCTTTTTAAGAAAATTATTCAATTTCTCTTTAATAAAAAATGTACTTAGAAGTGGTTTGTCGTATTTCAGTAAGGAATTATTAATATTCTAAAATGCTCTAAAAGCAAATATTAATTTTGTTTTACAAAATGATTATGTAATTTCACATATAATTCTAATTGCTATCACAAAATTTAAAATAATATTTTGAAGATGGTATTTTTGTAATTTTCAACATACATTACTAATAATTGGATGAACTGGTCTTTTTTTTACATACTACAGTACATTAAAGGAGGATTTAAATTAAAAATAAGAATAAAGACATTGTTATAAAATTGTTTATTAGTGTAGTGTTTTTTAAAATAGTAGTTCCTTAAAATTTTGTAAAATTAAACATTTTACAATATGAGTGGAAGGAAATTGAAATAAAATTAATTTTTGATGAGCAAACAATTATTGGCATTGAATAATAGTATATTTATATATTACTATATATATATACACAAATGTAGTGAAGATTTTTCCATCAGTTTGTAGCTTTCACTGTGTATAATATCATACCTGTTGTACCAAATTAGCCATTTGTATTTATAATGGCTGTTTCTTTTCTGCTTGCTTATCTCATGTGGATGTTATTTTGACACTACATTTTTTTCCCATAGGGTACATTACCTCCTCTTACATTCTTGTTCAGTGCTGCCCTCTATATACAAATATTTTTCGCCTGACACAAGCCTTGAACTTCCACGTACGTCACGATCAGTGTGAACTATGTCTTGCATGTAAATCATCATGCGACAACCCTCCACCAATAGGATTGCAACACATCCTCCTGATGCATGCTCAGTTTCTGATCATTCTCCTACCCTTATAACTCCCCTACAGTACTTGCCCAATGTACACCTTCTTCCTTACCTCCTGGCAGGTATTTGTTTTGTTTGTGTGATTTCCCTTTTGTTGGCCCTATCCTTTCACACATGGTTTTGTTGCTGTCGGGATCTTATTGGAAAGGGTGCTCTCTCGTCAATGGTTCATCTACTTTTCACTTCTCGTTGTGACATAAGAATGGCTCCTTTTCTCCATCAGTCTGTTTTTGGCAATTTTCCTGAATATTTGGAATCACGTGTGGAATCTGTGAGACTACATTCAACCCTTTAGTCTTTGGTTGCTTGTTTGTCTCATTCTGATCCCATGACCTCATATAACTATTTCTTGTCCTGCAACCTTCTGTCTTTTACTAGTTCCTACCACTAGGGGTTCGAAATTTTGCTATATGTCTCAGCATCGGGTTTATCATTGCCAACTTGGGCTTCTGTGGAAGCCCTTATTCTTTTGTGTAGGCACTTATGCATTCTCTTCAGTGGACTCTGCATGGCCAGTGGAATATTGCTCAGTATCCCTTGGACTCACAAATTACCCTTCCCTTACAGACAATCTACATCAGTGATTGAACAAGGATAACATAATAATGGGAGTACTGCCTCCTTCACCTTGTCCAAGTTTGCATCTGCTCACAGATGCTTCACTTCAAAGTTGGGGTTCATGGGTCCATCTGCAGGAGGCTTCCAGATAATAGTCTCAGATCAAAATGTCTTACCATATCAATATTTAGGAGTTTCTTGCAGTATGACGTGCTTTGGTTAATTTTTTTCTTCTGGTTTCGAACAGATACATTATGCTCCATTACGACAATTCCACTGTTGTGGCCTATATTAATCATTAAGGGAGTATTTGTTCCATTGTCTTTGTTGTCAAACATTAGTACTTCTTTATTGCTGGCAAATCTCCTAGCATACCATGTTCTGTGTGCTTTTCACCTTATGGCAGATCGTTTTTCAAGACCCAACCAAGTTTATCCTATGGAGTGGTCTCCCGACCTTCAGGTTTTTCTGGTGGCAATGTTATCAGTGAGATACTCTTCATCAGGATGCAGTGCCACTTTACTCACATTCTTCATTTTTTTTGGACACCATTTCTTCAGGCTATGGCACTGGATGTTCTCAGTCAGGACTGGATGAACTGGTACCTTTTGCATTCCTTCTGAATTCATATAACTCCTCATTGTGCAGTTCATTAGTGACTTCCACTCCCTCTATTTGACCTTTTATCCTCGTGTTTCAATATTCATCTGTCCTCTCCAAATTTTAACTACTAATTTTTTGGTCTGTGGTTGTTGTCTGATATTTTGCCATAGATGTTTCATGTATTTTTTTGCATTCCACATATGTTTGCCTTTATCTGAATTGCTATTTCCTACCCAAAACTTTGGTGACCTGTGAGGGGCATTCCTCATTCTCGCCAATTTCCCTTCTGTCCTTTTCCCACCTTTATCCCAACTTTGATCCGGATAGATTTTTATATCCAATATGTGCTCTTCATTGTTACATTGCCTGCATGGCCTCCTTTAATGGTATTCATTCCCTGGCACCATTCATCTGTACGTGACCTTTCTCCTTCTGCCCCTCCAAGCTTGATTCATCAAATGTTTTGATTGGACTGTTCCTTCCTGTCTCTTTCTTCCTGAATTCTGTTCCTGGTGTCATTGTATCAAATTAGACACCTTGTTTTTTTTTACTTGTCATGATTTCCACCTACATGTGGTGGGTACTAGACGGTGACGTTGCTCATACATGTGCTCCAGGCTCTGTGCAGTCCTATCCAGAAGATGATATTGTTGGGAGCGAAGGTTGTGGATTTGTGCATGTGCCTCATTTTGTAGATTGGTTTGAAAAGTATATGTACTTCTGTTCTACTTAACTTGAGGTGAAGTTGGTGTGGGCCCTCCTCGTATCAGATGCCTTTTCGTTTTGGACTGGAGTTGACTGGCCACATATGGTCTGATGCAGTCTAGCCACTCTACACCATGGGGCACATCCATTTTAGCTTTCCCCACATTTCTATTTGTAGATGATTCTTCTACAGTCTTTCTTCACTGGAATTGAGATTCCAGTATATTGTGGTTCAAATTCTAACCCACCTGGCTTTTCTTTCCCTTTTGGTTGTGCTCCTCCTACATTCTACCTGTGCATGCAACACAGATTTCCACACTGGACACGGAGCATACATAGTGCAGAAGTAGTGCAGTTTCTCATGCATGTTTCTCTCCTAATGGATATCACATGTCATGGGTGATTTTCATATGCTTTTGAAGGATACTCCTTTCTATCCTTGCACTGTTCCCTCTGTCTATTCAATGTGGTATACTAGCTACACATCTGAGAAGGAGTAATGTACCATACCAGTTGCTATTATTTTCCTGTACTGAAAATATATTTCTGATAGGTACTACCTCTTCTCACACTTCCTACTCTTCTTGTCAACTGAAAACTGGTGCTTCCTTTTTTTGCCTAATCTTGAAATGATAACTCAGACCTGTGATGGTTTTATTATCTTGAAATTTTTACATATTCTACAATAATTCCTGTACCCTGAATCCAAAAATAATATCCATTTTTCTTTATCACGTACAGATTTTTCACAAAATGTCATATGTACTTCTACATAAGTGAACGATTTTCATTGAAATTGGGTCACATTTTTTTCTGTTTAAAATGTT